GTTGAAACGATTTTTTGCAAATATTAACAAATAAACTGAAAATCTCAGAATATTATAGTTTGCACCATAACACACTGTGGAGGGAAAAAAAATTAAATGAAATTTTTAGCGTAATTCTTTTTAAAAATATTTTGGGAGAATTTTTGAAAATCGTTCATATTTTTAGACTTTTTGACGCCATTAATTTTAAAATTTCATATCTAAAAATATATCAGTTACAAACTTCCGACATTTTCATAGCTTATAAAACAAACTTTTCACATTTAAAAAAATGATAAAGGAAATTAATTGGATGATTTTTTTACTTTTCTGTAAGATATGCAACGAAGCAGAATGGGAAATATTGGTTCTTCTTGGGCATCAATTCGAAACATCGGTTTCAAAGTAATAATCTCATTATACCACACAATTTTTATGACATTATCTACACTATATAAGTTGTTATTGTTGTCAGTTGTTACTTCAGCGTGAGATTGGAGATATTTCTGAGTTAACTTTCTCTTAAGATGCGTTTTGCATTCTGTTCTGTTTAACGTTCTTATTAGATTGAAGCATAACTACTGATTACACTTAGTGATATTCTAAACACTTGTACGATTATTTCTGTGGGAAATTCCAGAACTTTGAAGTATATCTGTTGATAAAATAAATTTAATTAAGCTATCATCGGATTTGAGTGCAATGACAATCATTTACGAACAATTATCAATCTATTACAAACCCGTACGCACGCAACAATATTATAATTAATTATAGTATTAAAATTGTTCAGAACGTGTTTTACAAAACAAAAACAGGTAAAGAAAATTCTGCTTGCGTTTTATGATTTTTTGCAATTTTTCTGGCCACAAAAGGTTTTAAAAAAAGGTTTGTAATTTATGTTTATATTTACCAATTTAATAAATAGCACTAGGTTTGATTTATATATATGTGTGTGTGTGTATTGAAATTCAGTATTAAAATTTTAAAGATTTGTAATGATTAAATGTCTGTTTAGAAAGTTTGTATTCTTTAAACTGCAAATGCAAACTGAGAAACCTTTTGCATTTTTTTGGATAAATCCTTTTACTTAAAAGTCCTAAAACATATACAGGTGTGGACTAAATTATTTATTATTTTTACTGCTTATTTAAAATTATATACTTTATGGAAACAAGAATGGGCTTTGCAAAATACTGAAAAGAAAAATTATTTGAAATGGAAATGTGACTGAGATCATATTTGTTTTAAAGATTTTAGATAAAAGTGCATTTTTATTTTTGCTCAGAAACTAATTCATTAATTGCAAAATCATTCCTTGAAGTTATTAAGAACTAATAAATACAATAAAAAACTGGGGGAGACATTGAAAATTGTAGGAGAATAAAGAAATTTTAATTGTAAAATTTTTCTTCAAAAATTTAAATTAAAAAAAAAATACTAGCGAAAACTTTTTTTCAGCTTAAAATGATTTTGTATCACAAAACCATTTAATAATATTCATAAAAAGTAGATGAAAATGCTTAAAATGTTTTTAAAAAAATCATTCAAAAGCTACGAGTCCCTTTTCGCGTTGAAGCCAATATGCACTTGTCTTAACTTTAGTTTTAATTTAAACGATATTTCTGGAATACCTAGCATCAGATAACCTTGTCTGTATTTGTCTATAATTTCCGTATCTTGTACAGTTCTATCTAATTTTGGGTCGGGGGATGCTATCACATCCCCAGACATCTATCAGCGCGATTGTTCCGCTGACAGTCCAGCGAGAAGTAACTAAAATTAAGTGAACCGTGCAGTATTGTACGAGAAATCTCCCCATTTGCCCTGCTCCCGAGAGGTAAGGAACATTCAACCAAGTTCTACCTCCAATTCGGCGAGGCAGTTAATGCTGGTCCCATGTGAATGGGACACGTTGGAAGAACCGGTTTTCGCTACTGATCGAATGTGCTCTTGTGAACGGGGCTTTATGTATCAGATGATGCTCTTAATTGTGAAGATGCTTTAAAATGGAAAATCAGAGGCAGCTCATAAAAGCCATACAACATAGCCAGCAGGATCACTTTCCCATGACAGTAACCCTTTTAAAAGTAAATGGGTTTTCAAACTCAAGCATTATGCCAATAGAACACATGAATGATACAAAGCAAGCCTGATTACCAAAGGCTGCTCCCAGAGATCTAGCATAGATTATGGCATAATCTTTCCCTCAGTTTTGTTAAAATATTTCAACATTTAATAGCCATAGCTAGTATGGACATTGTGCATCATGTAATGAATGTAACATATTCTTAATATTCTTAGAACTAAGCCAATAGATTTTGCACAGACAATAGCTGCTGATTCTTAAACGAAATTAGTTTTCAGAAAGAATATAAATTGTATATGAAAATATACAATATGAATTATATGATTATATGAACACTGAAATTAAGACGTGTGTAAGATACGATTTCTTGTTTTATTGTATTTAGTAAGTTGCAACATGGCATATAGTTTTCTTTGGCTTATTTATTTATTTATTTATTTTTTCCTTGCTTTGAATTGGCTTTTGTGTAAATTTTCCAAAGAGAATTCTCATGCAGTACTTGCTTCTGTATGTATTTTTTCAGGAAAAATTTTTATGTTAAATTATTTGACTTCCTGACTGGAGTAATATCATGGCAAGCTCTATATTGACTTCAATGGATGACTCGCATTTTTTAAGTTGTGCTGTATGAATTTAAACATTCTTTACATGCCTACAATCTTGAATACTACAGTGTATTCCATCTCTTTAAAGCTTCTCACTGATTGCAATATTTATATTGCCTGTTCATACATCGAAGAATTAGAACATCAGTTTAAACGAATTGGCTCCTGGATTTTTTAGAATAAACGACTTGGTCTTCTTAACCTCTGGTAAGTTTTTGTTCCAATTAACTCCTTTTGGGCAGGCATCCCACATATATGTATCCCCTTCGAACGTCTCTCACAGCTGGGCTTCCCACCCATGCATCACTGGAGAATAAGCTTAAGGGATAGGTGATGTATATGAGAATTTTAAGCATAACCATTTCATAAAGATCACCAGATGGGATCCTGTGTCCATTACTTTTAAACTGAACATAGTTTTCGGTTCCTGACCTTCAGTTTGATCACATTCTGCCTAATTTGGGGTCAGCTATTGCAGGGGAGGAGAGAGCATAGTGTAAGCATACGGAGCTTGGGTTTTCAACTCATCATGTGATAACTCGTAATATAAACATTAGCATTTCTGATGTCCCTTCGAATCCTTTTCAGCTACTATGCAAGGTTTTTTTTTTAGGGTTGCTATTATAATGTTCTGTTACTCTTTGCTTTCCTTTTATTACTTATATTTCGCATACATCCCTTTTTACTTCAAATAGCCCTAACTTCAGTTTATTATGGCAAGCAAGCGTTATTTATAAGAGAAAGATTATTCTTGCATGGTAAATGAGCCAATTAGTGATATGGATGATAGTGATGATTCATTTTCTGAAGAGTTAGAGAGCACTATTTCTTGAGATTCTGATACAGACATTTTGTCAGACACTCAGCTCACTGAGTGCATGCCTTACACTTCCCATTAAAGATTTTATTTCTTGTTATAAATAATCTTTCTTGTATTTTTATTAATTTTAAAGTTTATTAATGTATTTTATCAATCAATATTTTGGAATAATTTGAATAGTTCTTCCGAAAATTATTTCTCAAATATGTATTTTCTTGCAACGTAAAGGAAAAAGATTATGAAATGCTGATCATAGTTTAAATAGCAATCTATAATGGTACCAAAAATTAGGACGTTAGGACTTAAACTTGTTTTTTGTGATTTTTTTTTTAAAGTTAGGCTTAGTGATGCAAACCCCCATCTTTGTGGTATAATTCCTTTTGACTCCCATCTGTCCCGAGGGAATGTCTTAAAGAACAGCACACCATTTCAAAAGGGCCCAGATCATAATGGTTGGCCTGATAGAGCCTGCTTTTGCACAGAAAAAGAAGATAGCACTAGGTCTGCCCCACCAAAACTCTTAAAAGATTTATTAAGCTGACTTCATGCAAGAGTTTCTCAGCAAAATCTTTCAGGTTAACCTTAAGACTTAACATAACCAACTACAATGCATAGCTACCATTGAGTTGAAAAGGTTTATCTTCTCAACCTCCCTTTTATACTGCAAAAGCGCATGCACATTATTGAAAGAATATAGAACAAATCACGATTTGGCATGGACTAGAGTGCTGCTATTGTTTTAAGCTCGAAAACAAAGCCTGTTTCTGAGGGGTTTTTTTTTTTTTTTCTTTCTTTCTTTTGAGGTTTTTATATATTAACTCAAAAACTACTGAACTATAATAATGGTCATCTTAGAAGAAAAAAAAGGAAAATTTTGCTGAAAATTCAAAGCACGGAGGAAAGATGCTACAAACAAAAGTGCAAAAGAGATACAATAAAGTATTTGATTTGCTTTACCTGATATCCTGACATATCTCTATTTGGCATTATTTCTCTAATGCTGAACTTTAAAATAATTTTCCTATCTATCACGTATCATATAAATAAATTAAACGAACTTTTAAGTATACAATGGATTACTGCAGCTTAACCAATGTAACAGTAATAACCTGAGAAGAAGTGCAATTTATGATGCATATCAAAGTAATACTTCTTTTCTCAAAATAAACATCATTTCTTTAAGCATTATAAAAAGCAAACTTGTACTACTGTAAAAAATATCACTATATCATTATGATGTTACAGTACAAAGTCTGTAATCCGGACTCGTCGGGACTTCGGCGATTCCGGATTATAGATCATCAATTTAAATCTGGTAAGATGGCGTGCAGAAATTATACAATTCAAAATATGAAACTGTAATTTATGAAATAAAGAGCAATTATGATCTAAAGGGTATCAAATTTTACAAAAAAAAAAAAGCTTAATATTTATTTGTTTACTTTATTAAACATTTCTTTCAACACGCGCATGCTAAATGTATGCGCATTCTTTACGCGCATGCGTAAAGATTGTGGCTTTGAGGTCCGGATTATAGATCATTCTGGACAATGGATGTCCGGATTACGGACTTTGTACTATATATAATTAAACAATTTATACAAAAAGCTTTGCACATAGAGTGAATTCTTGATATGTGAAACTCAACATTGAAAAAATATTCAAGGGAACACAGAAAATTATTTTTAGCATTTAGATTACAGTACAAAATATTATTACTTACTTGAGGCCCTTTCATAGAGAATGTATTACAATAAAAATATGAATTGTATGAAAGTATGACATACATGAATATGAATATTTCTCTTAAATTTACATAACAATTTTAATCAATAATAGTTTAGAATAATTTGACAAATTATTAACACTGTAAAATAATTTTAAATGTAAAAAAACTAATTGATTATAACAAACAGTACAGCAGGGTTAACTTTCTGATTTTAAAATTTCTTTTGTAACAAAGTCACTCAGTTTATCAAATAAACGAAACATTTCAACTGGCACATTTTCACAGCTTTCAATATAGTGTTGAATAAGAGAAAGTGCATTACTCACATTTTTATTTGTTAACACTGGTTCTTCGTTACTTTTTAAATCTTCGTGCTCATCTTCTGAATCGTGTTCGCAGCCTTTCACATCTGGAACAATTTCCTCATCACTAGACCCTTCACAAGTTTTTAGTTCTTCATCAATGCTGACATAGTCAGAAAAATTCATAGGGCTTTCAGAAGGAATTTCCAATATTTCGGGTGCAACTGCAATATCTAAATTTTCTTCATTCTGAAACTCATTTTTTACAGAAAAGAAATAAGGAGAGAAAAAACCACATTTTTTGAAACAACTGGCTATACATTCTTGTGAAACATCATTATTCCAAGCTCTTGAAATCAGCCACATTGCATCTAAAACGGAAACAGATGGTACGGGACTACCATGTGTTTTGATCTTGTTAATAATCTTCCTAATAAGTTGCCTTCTGTAGTAAATCTTCAGGTTACGAATAATTTGATTTGTTGGCTGAAGTTTTCGTGTCATAAAAGGTGGTAAAAATTCAATTTGAATAGCTTTCAAATTCTTCAGTTCACGATGCGCTGGACAGTCATCAACAAGGAACAACACTTTCCTCTGCTTGTAATGAAACACCAAATCTAATTTGCGCACATAATCTTCAAATATAGTGCTTGTCATCCATGCATTTTTGTTGCTTCTATATTCCAGTGGGAATGACTTAACATCTTTAAAGCAACGTGGGGTTTTAGATTTTCCAATAAGAAGGAGAGGTAACTTTTCAGAGCCATCAGCATTAGCACCAACAAGGATGGTTAGTTGATCTGTGTTCAGTGTTCTATTAGAATGAGACTTTTCTTTACACATCACTATTTTGTTAGGAATATATTTAAAAAACAAACCTGTTTCATCAAGATTAAAAACACTAGATGCATTATAACCTGCAAGCAATCTGTCTAAAATCTGTTGCCTCCACACTTCACCAACACTTTCAGGATGTTGTTTAGCTTCTCCGAACATATTTTGAAAGTAGATATTATGGCGAGATTTGAATCGTTCTAACCAACCATTACTGGCCATAAAGTCTGGATGCCCAAGAATTTTGCCAAACTCTAATGCTTTTTCACGAAGTAAAGCTCCATCAACTGGAAATTCAGTATTGAATTTATGGTGATTTTCAAACCATGTTAATAAAGCTTGTTCAACATCTGGAAAGCCACAAACTTTAATTTTCTTGCATAGTAAATTAGTTCCACTCTTAGAAAAATGTTCAAGAATCTTTTCTTTATTTGATAATATAGTAGAAAGTGTATTGGGAGGAATTCCATATTTCACTGCCAAATCTTTCTTCTTTATACTAGGATTATCTTCAACTTCCCGTATCAAAAGTACTTTTTCTTCAACAGTTAAAATTTTGAGCTTTCTTTTAGACATATTTTGCAAACATGTGGAAATACAAAACTCTCTAGAAGCAGTTAAATATACTATAAGTAAGACATGGACAGTTTACACAAGCCACAGTAAACGTAAGGACAGTAAGCTCAGTGGATCATGGTGATCAAAATGACATTCTGTATTACAAGGAAGCAGAAAACAACTGTTTTCATCAGAAAAGCTAATTAAGATATCACAAACAGAGACAGTAGCACAAGTTGTTCACAAAATCTCTGGTATGCTTGGGGAGAGTTCTTTCATTCTGAACGTAAAACAGATGTTGAGTTTAGCTCACTAATAATAAAGTCTACTCCATCATACTTTGGCTAGTGTCTTCACAAAACTCAAGTTAATTGGGATAAAACTCAGGCACTTATAGCACTGTGTTACTTTTTTTTTTTTTTCAGAAGCAATCAAAATGCTCTAAACTCCACATCACTATTCATATTCATTTAGTATAAAATAGAGTTGATTGTCCAGAAAAGAGAAATCTGGGAATTCCTAAAAAATTATATAACATTAATAATTCACATTTATATAATGTCATCACATCTTATGTTTTAAACAACTTAAGAAGCTTTTAACTTTAAATTTGTAAACACTGAATCTGAAGACTGATCATTTTAATATGCCAATTTTTAGTTTAAATGCAAGCATGATTTTGTGCATTTTCATGAAACTATTTTTATACAGATTTTAAGAAAAAGAGGAATTTGTTTTCTAGAGCACAGATACCTTAACATGAAGTGCAATATGACTTAAATGCAGTTGAGTAACATTTAAACATGCCACATTTTGGTAAAAACATTAATGCACTTTGATTTAATGTTTATCATGCTCTGCATTTAAATAAATTAAGCATTAATTATAACAAAAGTAATCTGTTTTTCAAGTCCTGACTAATACATTGCAACATTACATTTTGAACTTAAGACAAGCTTGGGATTCTTTTTAGCTTCCAAAACATTACATTTTCTGTTCAAATATCCAATTGTTTTATTTGTATGAAACTGAAAATAATCTATTTAATTACATGGGCAAATAAAGTATATAAATATATGTAATACTTATATAGGAAAAAAAAAGCAATTGTGTAATAATGATTTATTGCACACTACCTATTCTGTAAACATTACAGTTACAGAAGACTGTTTATGATTCAGCCATGAAAAGCAATTAAGAAAGAAATTTTCAGAAAAGTGATAAATCTGACATCTCAAAAGTTGTTTCCTTTAATTTAACTTAACTATATGCTCGAACTTCAACATACTTTCCCATCAGATTATAGAATACTAAATATCCAAATATAAAAAGAAACAAGCCACTCTAGAGCTCATTACAATATTTTACACAAAAGTCTTTATTTCTAGTATATACAGGGTGTCAATTATTATTTAGATCTTCGTTACATAAAAATTTTATTTAATGAAGATTAAGAGACACAGGGATACAATTTCTCAAGCATCTATCATAAGTAAATTGAAATCAACCAATATCATTTTCAAAACGACTGTTTCCTAAGGTGATACATGAAGATTATATATGTGAGAGAAATCAATGGCCCATATTTGGTAAAATATTACTATAGATGATATGAAAAGCATTAATAATGAATTTTTTTTTTAATTTTCAGAAGATTTTATAGCCTCATGATTAATTTTACTTTTAATGCAGCATCCTTTCCAAAAGTCAAGCACACAGAAGTCCTAAAAGAACAGAGCAGGGTGTCAGAGTAGTGAATGATAACTACTACTACATCGGCCCTGAATGTAAAACAGATCAAATCAAAAACAATTGTGATTCTTTGAGGGAATGAACCATCTTGTTGGAACTCATAATCTATGGCTGTATCGAATTTTTGAATCTTTGGAAAAATTTCCTATTCAAGAACATCTTTATATTTAACTATAATGACAAGTCACTCAAAAATGGGTCTATGACCATCTGCCCCTTTGCAGAGGAATTCTATGAGGTTTTTGCAGACTATAAAGAGTTACTTTGGTTTAAGATTCTGTGAGAGAAATATGGCCTTTTATGAAGTACGCACCAAACAATTATTTCAAGTTCAATCAATCAATCAATACAGGTATCGCCGGGCTATCGGTAATGTCGTGTGATGTTGCCAGCTCACTGATATATTTACCATGAAGGCACATGACATGATAAGTCCGGTGCATTAAAAGGAGATCTGAGATGAAGAGAGAGAGGTGACCATACACCACAAGGTTGTAAAAACCAAACGTTGGGAAAAGAACACCAGGCGAGGCTTGGCAGAGCAAGCAGAGAAATCTGACAGGTGTTGTCATGATAAAACAAAAGGTGAAAATACACAAATGATACAAATTTTATTCACTATGAAAATATAAATTACAATAATGAGGATAGAAATAAGACATATATGATACTATATAAAATATATACAGCAACATATATATACACGAGTGCACTGCAAACAAACTGTGCTAAGTCGGGAGGTTTGAGTCACAGGTGGAGGGGGCAGTGTAAGGTCTGATACTTGAATCCTCAGGTAGAATAATATAGGCTAAGGTTTTAAACTCATTTAAATGCAATCAGTTTTTGGTTTTCAAAAAGAAATTTTTTTTCGTACGGTTGATGAACTCCTCTACATGTCTAATTTTTAAATCATTATGTAGAGTGTCGTTTGATACATAGAAGTGAGCCTGTGCGATTAATATTATGTATTTATTCTGAACAATTTGTAACTTATTCAGATATTTCTTACTGACCACCGCCCAGACGAGAGATACATAAGTAAATATTGGCCGGATGATCACGGTATACACGTCTCTTTCTTAGTAGATCCAGCTTTGAATATTTACCTATTAAAGGAAATAGATTTTTCATCGTAGAGAGAGTTTTGCTACATGCTTTGCTTACGTGATCGCTCCAAGTGAACTTGCTACTGATGGTGACACTTAAATAATTGGCCTTTTGCACTGTGGGGCTTAAAAAGCTTAAGTCTGGCTTTTTTCTGGATAATGAGCAACTGTGACTTTTCCACATTTTTCAAAATTCTCCAAACAGTGCACCAGTGTTCAATGTGTGGCATTGTAGTCTGGAGTTTTTTTATGCCATTTTCAATACTAAGTGATTTCAATACTAATGCCATATCACTGGCGTAGCAACCTACAAAACCGCTGGAGTCAGAAAACACACGGAAAAATCCTCCACATAAAATATATACAAGATTGGGCCTAAGATAGAATCTTGGGCTACTCCTGCTCCTCTTGGGCATACTAAAGTTAAAATAACAGCAATATTTATTTAGTGGTTACCTTTAACTAAGAACATCACACTTGCAAATCAGCAGTGTTATCTATCTACCTACCTTACAATTCACGGCCACAAGAATCTGACATAAACTATTATGATTTCTTTATAATAGTTAGGATTTTATGATTATTGTGAAAAAATCCTAAATGCCACTAGATAATTCTACATAATAATACTTTTAGATAATTAAATTTTACGAACTGCAAAAATGACAATGAAACTTTGGATCTGTTAATTTTGTCCAAAATTAACAGAATTTTCAGACTTTCTTGAATATCTCCAAAACTGAGAGGCCCAGTTTAATGAAATTAGGTATGGACATTTAATTGTTTGAACATGAAAAAAATATGCCATACAACAGTCATTGTACATGATCATGCATAAAACTCAATGGCATAGCTAAGGTGGGTCAAGGGGACACATCTGTCCCTGCACGCAGTATCCAGGCGGCGCCAAATTGATGCTACGAAAGTTTTTAATGAAATGTTTTCTATTCTTGGTACACAGAAAGGGGCGCAAATTCTTCAATTGTCCCCGGGCACTGGAATCCTAGCTATGCCACTGATAAAACTCATCAGTGCTGGAAGGTCTAAAACGGAGACAGCGGGAAAAAAAACGGAAAAAAAAGGAGGCTGATAGGGGATATGGCCCCGAATAATAGACCTACAGCTATCACAATGTAACTACACACTGAAAATGAGGCAGTTTGTGAAACCCTGTGGCAGTTGGTCCCAACTTGCCACAATGCTTTTTTCAGGTCCTGGAGGATTCTGGGACAAGAAAACTATAGACATGTTCTACAAGGTTTAAGTCTGCAGATCTGGCTGGCCAATATACTCATTTTTTAGAAAATCATCCACCAGATTAGCCCTATGTGGACAACAGTTGTCATCCATAAAAATAACTGAGGGCCAACTGCACCTCTGAAAAGCTAAACACAGGGTCCTTAAGATCTCTTATTATCCATAAGTCATAACACCTCAGTCAGAAACATGAAGATCTGTGCTCTTGTCCAAGCATGATGTTGAAACAGCAAGCCCAACAAGCATTCGCTGCCATACTTGTCCCTTTCTTAGATGCTGAAGCACAGATAGTGGTTTCCTGGTTCCTTCCAGATGAAGATACATCCATAATCAAAAGTAAGGCTGAATCAAAATTCACGCCTAAAGAGAATGTTTCTCTATCTATTGATTGGACCAAATGTTCTCAGTACCATGCTAAATGGGATCTCCTGTACAAATACATGACTGGGACAAAAATAGTTCTTGCCAAACAGACAAGATATTAGTTCCCTATTTTTACCCTTCCAAAAGCTGCCCTCAGTGCATTTTTGTAGATGACAACATTCATCCACATAGGGCTAATCTGCTGATAATTTTTTTTTAAGTGAGGATATTAACTGGGTGGACCGATGAGTCAAGATTTATGGCAGATTACTCTGTGATCATATCTTTACAGATTACTCAGTGTAACGAGAAGGATTAAGGATATCATTAAGAAATTAAAAGGTGAAAGTGATCATTAGTTGGCAGTTTCATCTAAAAGACTTGCTACTAATTCTTTAAATGCAGGAAAAAGGAAAGTTAATATTAATGATAGTGATACTGATAATGATAATTTTGTTAAATTTAAAATACCAAATAAAATTGTTACAGCAGTCAGGGTAGTTAAAACTAAAAGTAATTTAGCTTTAAAAAATAAGTATTATGTTCTAGACCAGTGTTTCTAAATCTGGTTGTCCCTTCAATAATTTTCATAATACCGAGTACCCCTTGTCAAAAAAAAAAAAAAAAAAAAAAAAAAAAAAAAAAAGCATATCCTTACTTTCATTTGTTTCATTTTGCTATATTAATAAAATAATAATAAATGAAAAATAAAATTCTTTCATAATGAAATAAAAAAATAAATAAAAATTATATTATAAATAACATTCATTATATGAATGTTATTTTATTATTCAATGAAAAGGATGAAATTGCTTATGCAGAGACGACAGATCATCATAATTTGATTCCCTGGTTATTTAATTTGGTTCCCGGTTTGGTTAATTTTAATTTCAGATACAGTTCTACATACAAAAGTCTGTCCCTTTTCCCTGATGTAACATCTACAAATGCTGAAAGAGCAAGTTTACATATATATGAAGTTGGAAAAGGCAAGATCTATTTCAGGACTTTCTCTGTTAAAACTGCATACACATGCTGAAT